GCCTGAATCCTGTCCTTTTTGTTTATAATATGATCTTGAACAACCCTGGGATTGAGGCTTAATCACCAAAAACATGTTAGAAGAGCCTGAATCTTATCCTTTTTGTTTATAATATGATCTCAAACAACCCATGCAGCTTCTCTAAGCTTAAATTCTTTCATCTGTAATGTGGAAGGCTCTGGAGTTGTTGAGGGAAAGAAATGAAATTCAGCTTTGGTGTGCCTAGCAGAGGGCCTGACCTGTGTTGATTTCTCCACAGAAGTTTGCTATAATATCATGCTCGTGATGTCCCCAGTGCCTAGGACCCAGTAACTGTTAAATACACATTCTTTAAATGAATCAACGAATCCTTCGATATTCACAATTAGCTCTCTTTTGTATTTTCCACCAACTGTTCCCCTGACTCCAGACATCAGTCTTGTGAATTGATCATTCCCAGATGAGGCGGAGAGAAAGAGTGGCCGGATCAATGGGAATGCTTCTCTGAAAAAATACAACCTGGAAGCCATGATGTGCACACCATGTATTGGGGGTGGGACAGGTGGATGGTGCAGCAAGCCTGTTTCCTACAAAGGGAAGAAAAAATAAAAGAGCTTTGTTTTTTAAAGATGAGAAACACTCAACCTTCTTAGAAAGAAAATGATTCCAGGAAGCTGCCTTGTTGAAAGTCTGATCAATAACCCCATGGGAAGGAACGAGCAACTCTGTCCACTCTTAAAGGCTGCAGGAAGGGCTTGAGAGTCCCTTAGGTTTGAGGACTCAGGAGATGGTCTCACCTCACCTTACAATTCCTGTGAGGGCCGCTGAGGCAGAGCAGACTCCCGGAGGCAGCCATGGGCAACCTGCCTTGGCTCCTGTAGATGTCTCTGGAATCCATCTCTTGCCACACTGGCCCTCCTTTGTTCCTTGCACACACTGGGTTCATACCTTCCTCTCACCATCCAGCCCTTGGACCTGCTGTTCCCTCTGCCTGGCGAGTTCCCATCCTTCCTGCCTTCCTTCGCATCCTTCCTGCTCAAGCCTCACCTCTCAAGACGCCCTGCCCCATCCATTCTCTTACTTGCTTAATTTGTCTTGCTTTCCTTTTTTACACATATTTTATGTTTTCAATGGGAATTTTTCTAGCATCAACTAATACAACAAACACCCATCTTTCCCAGATTTGATAAGCCGCTAATATTTTTCTGTATTTGCTTACTTGCTTTTAGCCAACTTTATTGAGGTAGAATGTACATATAATAAATACATAGATGTTAAGTGTACTGTGTGTTGATTTTTTTGGCAAATACATCCACGTATCTGCCACCACAATCAAGATGTGGAATATTTCCATCACCCAAAAGTGGTCCTACCTCTCTCTCATCCTGATGTATTTTTCTTCTCAATACCAAGCATTACCTGAAATCATCTCACTGACGTATTTTTAAAATCTGTGTGTTGTCTCCCCCGCTGGCATATAAGTCCCATAAAGGCAGGGACCAGTCTCGCTCACTAACAGGGTAGGCCCATAGGAAGTTGCTCAAGTTCATGATATTATACTCTTCACCTGGTGTACACATCTTGACACATGTATATGAGGACATCTGTGTGATAAGTTCCTGCAAATGAAGCTATTGGGTCAAAGGACATTTATTTTTTTGTTATCAAGAGGAGACAACTGGGCCCGGCACAGTGGCTCATGCCGTCACTTTGGGATGCTGAGGTGGGAGGATCACTTGAGGCCAGGAGTTCGAGACCATTGGGGCAGCAAAGTGAGAAAACAGCTCTATAAATAAATAAACATTATGAAGAGACATGTATCTCCCTTTTTCTTCTTGCCCAACAACAGTCTATCCTAGTGCTTCTCGACCTCAGCATTGTTGTCTTTTTGAGCTGGATAATTGTCTTAGGGGATTGCCCTGTGTATTGCAGGATGTTTAGCAGCATCCCTCATTCCACCTACTAGGTAGCAGTTGCAGCTCTACCCCCCTCCACCCAAGTTATGACACCCCAAAATGTCTCCTTGCCTCCAGACATTTCCAAGTGTCCCACAGGAGGGAAAATCACTCCTACTTCAGATACACTGGTCTATGGAGGCTAATTTCTTGCTAAACTAAATGGTCCCTCAATTGGCCACCATCTCCAAATAAGGTACCCTTGATGACACTGGATTTGTAGAATCCATTTTTTAACCCCATTAATGCAGTTCAATTGACTGAGTTAGAAGCCCTGGTCCCTACCTGTAAAGATCATCGTGAAATAAGAAGCTGGTTGATTTTAAAGGAGGGAAGTGTCACGTTGATTTAAAAACCCAGGAAGAGCAAAGTCCAGGAGGATGTGAATGGCTTCTCCTTGGTCTGAGCTCCTGCAGAATTCTCAGTATTGCTGGTGCTAAGGTACTTTGTGTGCGGGGTCATATCCTAAAAACATTGTGTCATTCAGGCTCCTGAGAACCAGCAGGAAACCCTAGCAACTGTGCAAAGGGTTCTGAATTTTTTTTTTTTACTCAGGAGACTGAGTTCATGTCTTGGAAATCTGCAAACTCTGATGCCCATGGCAGGTCATCAGGAGTGTAAAGGGGCAAAAGGGGCAGGTGAGACTTAGTGACATGAAGGGGGGTCTCCTCTAAACGGGCACTGTGCTATGACCAGATGTTGTGTTAAAGAAAAACTACTCAACGATGTGTGTTAGGGCATAGTAAGGAGATAGACCTTGTTCAGGACCCGTCATGATAGGTATAGGGGCCATGGCATGGGATTTTGCAGTGGGAAGAGAGATCAGGCTCACCCCAGAGCACAGCAAATGGGGATTTATAGTCAAGGAGCAAGGTGGGACTCAGTAGATGGAAAATTGCTAAGTGGAAGCATCAGGGGTAAGGGGGATTCTGGCTACACTGATCTAACAGGATTCTTGCTGGAGACAGGCCAGGATGGTCAGACATCACCTGGGGCTGGTGGAGGACGCGGAAACTGATCAGACATCGAGGGTGACCAGATATTGAGGGTGGGAGTTCTTGCTGAACTGGCTTATAGGGTTCATCATTATAACTGGATTTTACAAGGAAGAACACTCAGATGTGCCTAGGAGGTTCAGGAGCCTGACTAACATTTGGTCAAACAGAGAATCTTTGCCAGTTGTCTGGTGGGAACGTGGGTCCAGCTCTGCCAGACCTTCTTGTTTTTCAAGCAAGGCAAGAAGTCTATATATTTTTTAATGTAAAATACCTTTATTCTTGAATTATATAATAATTAGCAAGTTCTTATCTGTTTAAATATGATGTGGGCCAAATAACACATCTGTAGGCTTAGTGCAGCATCTGGGTTAATGTGCAAGGTTGTTTCTTGTTTGTTTGGGACTCACTTGTTGGTACAGGAATCTTTTGGCCTAGTTCTTCAGCTTGTCAGCAAATGTTTATTGAATATCTAGTATGTGCCAAGCATTGTTCTAGAGCTGCCATTTGGCATTATTTTGCTGAAATGACTGACACCAAAAAAGATAGAGATGATAGATGGAGATAATAGATAGATGAAATATGGAGATAGATTATAAACACAGGTAAATAGATGATAAGACAGATAGAGGATAGGTAGATGATAGATAGATTTTACCTTTTAAAGATAAATATTGAAATATTACAGTTAATGTCATATCCTGGAGTTACTTCAGAATATTATTATTATTATTATTATTATTATTATTATTAATAATAGGGGAAGTTGAATGAGGATATAGGTGAGCTGAGATTCACCATGAGCTGAGGTTTTTTTTTTTTTTTTTAGCTGGAGTCTCACTCTGTCACCCAGTCTGGAGAGCAGTGGCATGCTCACAGTCACAGCACCCTCGATCTGTTGGGCTCAGGCGATCCTTCCGCCTCAGCCTTCCAAGTAACTGGAACTACAGGCACACGCTACCATGCCTGGCTAAATTTTTGATTTATTGTAGAGACAAGTTCTTGCCAATTTGCCCAGGCTGGTCTTGAATCCCTGGGCTCAGACAATCCTCTTGCCTTAGTCTCTCAAAGTGCTGGGATTACATGCTTGAGCCACCACACCCAGCAAAATGAGAATTTTTGAAGCTGAGTGATGGTGGGGTATATAGATGGTGGGGTGTACTCTTCTGTCTTCTTTTGAATATGACTAGAAGTTTCCCATGGTAAAGATGTTTAATGTCCTTATCAGTTAGAAATACATTCTGGGGAAATCCCTTCAGATCCCCTTCTACTGTGGGAGTTTTTCTGTCCTCTCAATAAATCCTGCTTTAAAAAAAAGAGAGAGAGGGAAATACATTCTGAAGGATGTACAGGTAAAATGACATTATGTTGGAGCCTTAATTTAAAATATTCAGCTAAAATTTTTTGTAAGTTGGGTTACAGGTGAAGCATCATTTGGCAAAATGTTCATTGTTTCAGTTGGGTAATGAATATACAAGAGATTCATTATGCTAGTCTGTTGATGGCTGAAATTTTCTACAATAAAAATTTTGGGGAGGAGGGGGACTGGGAGGTGGGATTGACAGTAGTCGAGATCTGCCTGGGGGGGCACACCTCATCAACAAGAGTACCTGCACAATGAATATTTGTATACCTAACCATGAATTGTACCCCACAGTTAAAAAAAAAATTTGCCAGGCTCGGGGGCTCAGCCTGTAATCCCTCGCTTTGGGAGGCTGAGGTGAGTGGATTGCCTGAGCCAGCGGGTTCGAGACCCACGTGGGCAACTTGGCAAGACCTCATCTCTACAATAAATCAAAAAATTAGCTGGGCGTGGTACCGCGCGCCTGTAGTTCCAGCTACTTGGAAGGCTGAGGTAGAAGGATCGCTTGAGCCCAGCAGGTCAAGGCAGCGGTGGCCGGGAGAGGCCACTGCACTCCAGTCTGGGCGACAGAGTGAGACTCCAACTCAAAGACAGAAAAAAAAAAATTTTTTTTTTTAAGTTGAGAGGCCTCCTGTTTTCTGGGTAGCATTTGGGCAGTATGGAGTTAGGCACTTAGGTGCTCATGTGAATTTTCGCTGACATCGAGAAATGGGGACTCTCTACAAGGGATGCAGCAGGGCAGAGCATTGCCAAGGTGAGACTGGAAGCACGGGCTCTGCTGTGGACTACAGGTTAGGGATAGATTTCTCGCCCAGATAGTTACTCTGCAGAATGTTCCGCCTCCCAGGTATCCTAGTGGTCAGAGAACCTGGAATCAGTTTCCCTGGGTCTAAATGCTGGGTTTACCACTTTCTAGCTGTGTGACCTTGAGCATATTATTTAACCCCTCTGAGCCTCGGTTTCCTCATTTATTAAACTGGACTAATGCTAATACCTCATAGATCCATTATGAAGATTAAATAAGTTATCCTATGAAAGCACTTAGCATAGTAAATGACATGTGACGTGTTTTAATTGATGCTTTTGTTATTGTTGCTGTTAACTGTTCTAAGAGCAGGAAAAAATCTTTCAAAGATAGATGAATGAAAATAATTGGAGGCAGAGCCTCACAGAAATCAAAGAAAAAGGCACCCACTGTCAACTGACCCACCCACAGCCACCCATTGTGAGCTGCTGGAATCAATTTCCCGTATGGTAGGTACAGAAGGAATAAAAGAAAAAGGCAACTTCCTGATCATTTTCTTTCTCCACAGAATGAAGTGGAGCTGGGAGAGCTGCTTCTGTCACTGAATTATCTCCCAAGTGCTGGCAGACTGAATGTTGATGTCATTCGAGCCAAGCAACTTCTTCAAACAGATGTGAGCCAAGGTTCAGGTATGGTGTGAGCCCTTCTTTTCCCCACTTCTTTAATGTGGCATCTGTATTTGTTTGGGGGACCCAATTTTCTTTATATCCATCCTTGGATGCCACAATAAGACCCTGTGAGGATAGACAGCATCCAGAAGGAGGAGGCTGGTTCAATAGGGAATATAAACCATTAGATGTCTCTCAGGATGAGGCAGATAAATAATGCCATCTCAGTAACCCTCTTTGAATTGGGCAGTTGACTGAGACCAGGTGTGATAACTACTGGAGACCTAGATCCTCTCTGAACCCATGCAGCCCCAAGGAAATTACTTGCCTTCCCAAATGCTATACCTGCAATGGAGACGCCATGCTCCAGGTGGCAATAGCGTGTAGTGACTGTGCATTCTAATCAGTGAGCATGGTGGATGTGCTCTGAGGTTTTTTCCTAGCTTGGTTTACGTATACCATAAATCTTTCTAAATTCCAGCTCTGAAAAGACTGTTATACTTAAAGTGTTCACTTTATAGCAAAACCAATTCAAACATGACTTGCAATGAAGTGGAACAGATTCCATTCCATCTGTTTGTAGCTTCTCCCATGACAGCAAAGGATATTACTGTGAAAGCAGCCATGGTCACAGGGATCTCTTCAGCTTGGTGGTAGAATTACTATCTTCCCTGAGTGCTATAGCGAAAATAAATTACTTTTGCTAGAAGATGACAACTAGAAGACATCTTGCATTCTCAAAAGCCACATTATAAAAACAGAGGCATATAAAGGACCAGTAGACAGGAAGGTATTTATACTGGAGAACTTCAGACTCACTACAGTGGGAGAATCAATACAATAAAATGACTACGGGTTCTGGAATCAAACTGTCTGGGATCAAATCTCACTTTTACTGTTTACAAATGATGTGGCCTTGGAGAAGTTATTTAACCCCTTTATATCTCAATTTTCTCCATCTCAAAAATTGACATAATAAAAGTATTCATCTCACTGGGTTGTTTAAACAATATTAAATTAGATAACGTGCATGGATTCCTTTGTAAACTGTAAAATGATCTAAAGATAACAGTTATAATAATTCTATGTCTATTCTCCTGTATATGGACTATGGGTTCACTGACATTTTAATGGGCTTCCACAGACAGAAAGCTGGGACAGGCTCTGAGTCTGGTTCTGTGTCCACCAACCAGATCTTAAACAAATCATTTTTCACCTTGAGTTCTCTGCTCATCTGTAAAGTGAACATAATGTCTACCACATGGGAAGAGCACAGTAAATATTAGATGGCTGGCGAAAGAGAAAAGGGGATGAGATGTAGATAGGTGGTAAAATGATGGATGGACAAAAGAAGAATGAATGAAAGGAGGGGCGTGTGCCTGGACTGATGGATGAATGTGTGGATGGATGAACCGATGAAAAAATAGAGGGAAAAAAGGAGGAATTGGTGGGTGGGTGGGTGGGTGGATGGATGGATGAGTTTTCAGATAGGTGGGAACTTAGATGTATGTATGGAGGGAGGGAGGGAGGAAAGGAGGGAGGGAGGAATGGATAGATAAAAGAGTGGTGAAATGATGAGTGGATTAGTGAACTCCCAGTTGGATGGGAAGATAGATTGATGAATAGATGGGTGACTGAATGGATAGGTAGACTGAGAGATGGATGAAAAGTCGAATGGATGGATCAATAGAAGAATGGATGAAAGAAATGAAGGATAGATGGATGGGAAATTGAATGGATGAGTGACTGGACAGACTAAATTTTATAATCTCCAACATTGTAATGCTGTGGCCAATTTTCAGACCCCTTTGTGAAAATCCAGCTGGTGCATGGACTCAAGCTTGTGAAAACCAAGAAGACATCCTTCTTAAGAGGCACAATTGATCCTTTCTACAATGAATCCTTCAGCTTCAAAGTTCCCCAAGAAGAACTGGAAAATGCCAGCCTAGTGTTTACAGGTGGGTAGCATTCCAGACCCTGATGAATCCCTGATGAGGCATGTTCAACTTACTGTCCTAGAGACAAAAGGTGTCTGAAGAATATGTCTAAGAACTTCATGTCTACCTGGGTTTAAGTCCATTTACCATCTGTGAACTTGGGCAAGACCCATAGAGCCATATAACATAATTGTTACAAATATGGCCTCTGGAGCTAGATTTACTGGAACTGCCACATAATAATTGAGGTTCTGAGTCTCAATTTCCTCATCTAAAAAATGTGGACAATAATAGTACTTGTGGCATAGGTTTGCTGTGAAGAGTAACTGACATAGCTTTGGAATAGTGCCTGTTACCTAATAAAGTTCTTACTATATGTTAGTTTTGATGATGATGATGATGATTCAAGTTGCTTATAGTCTAAAAGAAAAGCATATGCAAAAAGTGATTTTGAAAGTTTTCCCAGAAGATATATATTTAAGCAGAGGCTTCATATGCCACTGTCTGGTAGAATTTAGTCTATTTTTCAGGGTGTAACTTAATCTATTATTTCTAAAGTATATTAGTTATCTATTGCTGCATAATAAATCGCTCCAAAATTAGTGGCTTAAAACAACACACATTTATTATCTTGTAGTTTCTGTGGGTTAGGAATCTTGATTTAGCTTTGGTATACATTCTCTGTATCTCTGACAAGGCTGCAATCAAGGAAGGTATTGACTGAGGTTGCAGTTTTATCTGAAGACTCAACCAGGAAGGATCCCTTTTCAAGCTCATTCACATAGTTGTTAGCAGGATTTAGTTCCCTGCAGGCTGTTGGATGAGGGGGCCTCGGTTCCTTTCTGGTTGTGGACCAATGACCTTCCTTGATTCCTTGCCAAATGGTCTTCTCCATAGGACAACTCACAAAATGGTATATGGCTTTCATCAGAGGTCAAGTAGGAACACAAGAGATGGCAAATAAGAGCCTTTGTAATCTAATCTTAGAAATTACACCCTAGCCAGGCTCATTGGCTCAGCCTGTAATCCCGCGCCTTTGGGAGGCTGAGGTGAGTGGATTGCCTGAGCCTGCGGGGTCGAGACCCACGTGGGCAACTTTGTGAGACCTCATCTCTACAATAAATCAAAAAATCAGCCGGGCGTGGTAGCGCACATCTGTAGTTCCAGCTACTTAGAAGGCTGAGGCAGAAGGATCACCGGAGCCCAGCAGGTCGAGGCTGCAGTGGCCAGGAGTGGCCACTGCACTCCAGTCTGGGCGACAGAGTGAGACTCCAACTCAAAAAAAAAAAAAAAAAAGAAAAGAAAAGAAATTACACCCTATCATTTTTATTATATTCTGTTCATTAGAAACAACTCATTAGGTCTAGCTCACGCTCGAGGAGGGGATTACACAAAGGCAAATGTAATGGGAGGTGGAATCACTGGGATCCATATTGGAAGCTGCCCACCTCAATGGGGTTAAAGTTAATAGAAGTAATGGTTTACACAGGAAATAATTACAGTAGATACTTCCTTATATCATTGCTGATATTTATCACAATCCACCTGTCAAGTCAGTATCATCATCCTCAACTTACAGGTCTAGGGACTGAGGCTTAAAACCTAAGCAACCTATATAAGATCTCAAGCTGATAGACTTAGGATTCAGGCTGTGGTCTTGCTAGCTCCAAATGCCAGGTATCCGTATTTCCTCAAGTACCCAGGTAGTGCTGGCATTGGCGATCTGACATCATTGTTTGAGAAGTCCATCTCCAGGGCAACTGAAAACTCCCCTCTATTTAGATCTAGTCTAGGAACCTTGACTCCGGGTCTGCCAATAAATCAGGCCATGGCTGAAAAGCTCTCACATGTAGGACTTCATCTCCACCAGCTTGTTGCTTCTCATCACCAAGACTGCAAATGTCCATCCTCTGAGACCCCTCCAAGGCAGGTTGGTCTATACTTTCCCAAGGCCTATCATGCCTTCCCTATGCAGATATAATGATCCCATCTAATGCAGCCTGTGATAGCTGCTATCCAGATAGTTACAAACAGACAAGATTCAACAGCCACTGTCTTCTGTCTTGGCCTCACTCTCTCCAAGGTTCTAGATCAAGACAGAAGACAATGACTGTTGAATCTTTAAATGGTGGGCAGACAGGCAGTGGGAACTACTGTATATGGAACCAATACATATCAAAACATGAAATCTCTTCTCCCAAGTCCCTATGGAGAATGAAGGATTTCCTGTTATGAAGTTAGATGAGGAAAAGTCCCCTGGGGCACTGAGAAAGTCCTGATACTTCATACTTAATATTTCATGACAAAAGTAGCACATTGTGTTTTAATGAGTGACACAATTAAAAGATGTGTGAAGACAGAAAATCAGAAGAGCAGAGGGGTTACCTGCATGCACCAGGGAGCTAGTGCCTGGGTCCTGGCTTGGCTCCTCACTCACCTTGGTGACCTTGGGCAAGATCTGCATGGTTAGGTTTTCTCATCTGTAAAATGGGGGTAATGGTACAAGGACACCTCAAAGGACTGTTATATGTATTAAACGAGATTGGCGGTGCCGAGCACAGTGCCTGGTACAGAGTAAGTGCTCTAGAACTGTTAACCATTAGTAAAAGGAAAGTTTCCTGTCTTCCTCATCCCCATTCCAGTTCCTGCTCCCTGAAACTACCTTTAATGTCCTGGTGTGTATCATTCCACGTTGATTTCCCTGTTCACACAAACATTATCCACATAAAGAGTATTCAGTCCCTTTATTTAAAACATTATTTATGAATTTAACAGTACTTACTAAACACCATCTCTGTGCTGGACGCAAGTGCTGGAAAGAGGGCATTGAACAAACGAGGTCTAATTCTTGCCCTCTTGGAGGTTACTGGGACATTTTACTGACACCACTCTGAAACGTGCTTTTATATTTAACAGTGTGCTCAGTGCCTTCAGATCAACACAAACACAAATAGATTTAACTCTTTGTGTTAGATACTGTCGCATGTCGTACTATGATAAAAGCAGAGGCTATTCATACTGAGGGTGGGGGCGTGTCACAGGGCTTGAGGGAGTGTGGTAAGAACTCCAGAGGTCCCACTTCAGAACCGTACACAGAAGTATAGGAAATTCTACATATAGTTGTGGAGGTTTTTTGAATCCCATATGGTTACCCCATAAGGCAGAAGCCTCAGACGGGAGGGGCAGTCACCCTCCCCTGCCCCCCTCCCCACTACTCTTACTCAGCCCACTGCACTTGAAGTGGCAGTTGTCGGCTGGGCCAGTTATCAGCTGATCCCGTCACACGAGGCCTGTATTCTCCATTCGCGGAAGTCTGCTTCTCTCGTGTAAGTTTTGTGCCCTTGGCTTGGGGGTTCATGCTCCTCGGGTTAAAATCTCCTTGAAAAGATTCTTTCTGGAGAAGGAAGCATGCCTCCTTGTCCCCCTAAGTCAGGGTTTCCCGACCCTGGCTGCACTTTAGAATCAACTGGTGGCATTTAAATGCTACCAATAGCCACACTCCATCCCAAGACATTAATGCAATGGATTTAGCTGGGGTCCTGAGTATCTATATGTATCTAGATTTTGAAAGATTTCTAATGCTCAGTCAGGGCTCAGGGCCACAACTGTGAGTGGAAATCCCAGCTGAGGTGGCATTTTCCATAAAGGATCCTGGCTGGAATGATATAAACAATGTGGATTGAGCCAGTGGATATCTCGGCAGAGCTACAGTTCTCCTGAACTCAAATCCATGAGGTTCTAACCTGCTATATTTGTCTGCTGAAGGAAAGAGCCATCACCTCCAGGCTGAGGATCCGAAACCCAGCCTATTTGCCTGTTTCCAAACATGTCATAACAAAAGTAAGGTTGGTCTGCAATTTAAGCATTTGCTGAGAATCTTGATAAAAAAGTCTGATTAGCTGGTGGGCTGGACTGTCTGAGTAGTTCTTTTCCTGTGTGGGATGCAGATTCTTCTCCCATTTTCAATCAGGTGATTTCTGCAACTAAGAAAAGTGGGGTAAAATTGCATTTTGACTTCTGAGATAGCAATGCAAGGTTCAGAGGCCTTCCAGGAAACTCAGGAGGGTTTACTGAGCCAGAGTAAAGTGGAGTTGACCACTGGGTGACTGGACTGTTACTGAATGAAGAAAAAATGAAAGGAAGGGAGGGAGGAAAGAAAGAAGGGAGGGAAGGAAAGAAGAGAGAGAGAATAATGTAACTGGATGGTGATTTTTCAAAAAGTTAAAAAGAGAATTATATGATCTAGCAATTCCAATTCTAGGTATATACCCCAAAGAATTGGAAACAGGGATTTAAACAGATAATTTGTATACTCATGTTTATAACGGCGTTATTCACAATAGCCAATAGGTAAGCAATCAAAGCGTCCGTAGATAAGTGGATAAACACACACACACACATACACACACACACACACACACACACTCAGCCTTAAAAAGGAAATTCTGACACAAGCTACAACATGGATATGCCTGGAAGACATTGTACTAAGTGAGAGAAACCAGAAGTAGGGGACAATACTGTGTCGCTCTATTTCTGCAAAATACCTAGATAGATTCATAGACAGAAAGTAGAATAGAGGCTCTCGGGGGCTGGGGGAGGAGAGAATGGGGAATTATTGTTTAATAGTCACAGAATTGCAGCTTAGGCAGACAAAAAAGTCCTAGAGTTCGATGGTGGTGACACAACAATGTCAATGTACTTAACGCCACTGATTGCGTACTAAAAATGGTCAAAGTGGTAAATTATATGTTACTTGTGTTTTACTACAATTAGAAAAAAAGAAAAAGAAAACAAATGCTGCTTGAGCTCTGTAGAACCTGAGCAATTTAGAGCAGCGTCTAGATGCTGATGTTGTGTCTTGGCAGACTGTTCTTTTCCCTGACAAAAGAGCATTCTTTCCTTGCCTCTTTGGGGGAATATGCATAACGGTTAGAGACCAGACCTTGGGCTTGGGTTCATATTGGTCACTTACTTGCTGTGTGATCTTGGCATTTTGCTTGGCCTCTATCTGCCTCAGC